ACTAGCCATCATAAGACGCTTTGCTCCATGGTATCAGGAGGCGCATGAATGCAAAACATACAGCCAAGGAGAAGTGGACATGTGGAATGTGATATCAAATCAGTAACAAAAAGACCTGGATACCCTCTGCAGAGCCAAAAAAAGCGAGCTTCGCTAATTCGATCGTTTGGAGTTTCGAGAGTCTGTATTGATTTTTATTTGGTTGAACTTTCAAGAAAACATACATGAAGTGGAATATTTATGTTAGTCGATATTTTTATGGGAAATGAATTTTTTTTTCTTTTTTAAACAATATAAAAGGGAGCATCGACGAGTAATTCACGACAGAACTACTGAAGTTAAGTAATAAATTATATTATTTCCGTGAATCAAATTGCTTGAATTTTTTTATATTACACAAGATAAAAAGTAATAATGTGTTTTTTTTTAATATCGTACTTCATTTTAAGAAATTTGAGTACTAAATTTCTGTCAAAAATATTTAAAATTGAGTTTTGTGAAAATAATTATTTATAAAAACTAGCAAGGCACCATTCGTAAATAAATTTAAATAATATTATTTTTATAAAAATTGTGAATTTTTTGTGTAATTAAATTAAATAATAAATTAGGTGTCAAATAATTAATTCATATTTTAGTTAATTAAATTTAATTATTAATTTATTCTATAAATTTTTAAGTAACTAATCTGTCATTTATTTAAATATTTTTTTAACCTATTTAAAAATTTGAACATTTAATTTTATTATAGAATTATTAATTTTTATTTTTATTAAATAGATTGATTAGATCGTTTATAATATTATTATTTTATTGCATATCACAAAATAAAAAACAACATATATTTGAATGTAGAATTCAACTTGGTAACTACAGTACATGTGTATAAAATTTTAATATATATAAAACTTTATTTCGTCATATAGATATAGATAATTTTTTGTAATTGTATTACTAATAAATGAATTCAAAATAATTTAAAAGTTAATATAAAAAAGTTTAAAATAAGTTGAAAGTCAAATATATGTAAAATAAAAATTAGATGCAAATATATAGGTGGATAAAATTGTCTTAGTTATAATGATTATGAATAAAATAAAAAATAAAATTTTTTTCACAGGTATTCACATTTAGTATATAATATAAATATAAGATAATATAATAAAAAATTTGTTTAAAAAATCGTTAAACATTTACTTTTGAAATATATTGTTATCCTTTTATCTAATTAAAAATATAATGTGACCAAATATATAATCTAAAATTTTAAAAATAATTTTGAGCACAAAATATCATTCACCTTTTTTATCAAATTACCTTTTAGTCCGAATAACATTGCTAAGGAATTAATTCCTCACAAGTCATTGTCGAATCGTTGGTACAACTAGGTAACCTAGACGCAACCTCTAAGCTTCTTTCTTTATTATTTAGGCATCATTAATTTGAGTGGGTCAAAGAGAGTTTACCCGTGGATGTATGGGATTAATTTTATATACATTTTATCTTTTTTAAATTATGCGTATACTCCGGTCAAAAAAAAATTATGCATATACCAAATTTTGCTAAAATAAGGTTCGTTTTGCTCATAATCAGACATTAATCATATACATAAAAAGACATTGTATTGATTGATTTAGATCAGACTTGGGCTCAAATCATAGGTTGAGCTCAAATCATCAAAAGACATATTAGACTTAACTCATGACCGCAGTCCAATCCAAAATTTTAGAGTTCAAGAAGAGTCAACTACATGAAAGAACAATTATCATGATAATCATTACTCCAAGATAGTGTCTATCGTCAATTGTAACTATCTTCCCGATAAATTAATAGTTTGACTTTCACGTCGCGACCATAGCAAGGGCTTTTTGCCTATAAATTATAAACCTTCTATACATGGAAGTAAATCCCACACACCTTATCTTGAGTAAACTTTTGTTCTCTCTCCTATTACCTTGTACTATCTGATTAATAGAGTTTTTCGATCATCATTGTCGCCTTTCGTGGTTAGGTCAACCAGACCCAACTATTCAATCTTTGTCTTTTATTATTAATTATTTTGTATCATACGCTCAACTTATTTGATTATGCATAACTTAACTTGTTCATTATTAAAATTAAATTAAAATAAAGATGTTATATATTAAATTTAGTTTTAAACTAATTATTTGGATCTAATCGAACTAAAATCAGTCGGTTAATTGAAGAGGATTCGAACTAGTGTTTATATGGCACATTTAAATTTAGATCAATAGTAATCTATAATAGATTCCATCTATTGATTGATTTATCTTTAGTGATAGAAATCTTGTGTACTGCATTACTCCGTGTCTACATTTTTTTTGTTTTTGCGGTTTCTAAAAATTATAGTATTTTTTTTAAGGGAACTTGGGCGACAGGTACAAAGTCATATACTTTTAAGACGAGAGGTCTACCTTAAATACTTTTAATATGAAATAAAATACGCATTTCACAAAAAAACTCTCAATGAAGAAAATTATTTAAAAACTTCTACCATATCCCACCCTCACCCCTCACCCATTACCCCTCATAGATAATGAATTAAAAAATAGTGAATTCAATAACAATGAATTAAAATATTTAACGTGTTTTTATTATATATTATTGATGAAAAAAAAGTTGAATTTTTTAGTTCATTATCGACTAGTTTACTGTAAATGGAGAGTGGGGGTACAAGCGATGAGGGTGTAAGAAGACTCAGATTTATCCATGAGAAAGACAATGACTCTTGGTTGGATAAATAGCAAAACGCAAGAGGTAATATTGTAATATTAAAAAAAAAAAATTAGTTTTGAACCTATGCCTTAAAAGTTAAGCTAAGTTGAAGCTCAAGCCCAAAAAACTACAAGTTTAGACTTATTTACAAATTAAGTATCAAATTTATTGTTTTTAACAATTTTTAATTTTTTTAATGTGTTTGACCAAACATAAGATCAAATGGGAATAATTTTATGCTGAGGATGGGGATGGGGTCGAATCTTTAAATCTGCCGAGAAGAGAGAAATTAAATGCTCGACAGACCAAGGAGAGAGTATTCAATGCTCGGCGTCCCGATCAGTTAAAGCAAAACACATTTCCCATAAACGCGAGGGGCACACTGCCCCATCTCTGACAAATACCTGCTAGATGGACTGTCAGCAATCATGAGCCTTTGAAGGTATAAATAGTTCTCAAAAACACATTGCAAATGTATGCAAAGACTTCTCTAGAGAACTACACAGTGCTTTCTTCTTTCCCTCTCTCAAATAACTAACTTGATCGTCAGAGGGGATACGTCGGAGAGCACTCCGGCACCCTTCTAACTTGTTTTTCTGTCTCACAGGATCCCCCTATAGTCTTACAGGACCAGTCAAGACACTCAACAAACAATTTATTACCAGTCCTTAGGGCCCCTTTGTCCCTCTCAACCTACTTCTCGTTGTCAGAACCTACGTTCAGATGGGTCAAATCTCAGCCAGAGGCGATCAGACATCCTGAAAGCAAACCTTCACTACCACCCAGGCTCCCTTTGTCCCGCTGAACCTATTCTCATTCCATCAAGGTTACCATCTTGACGAACCAGAGTTCATCGTGGGAGAGATCTGTTCCTACTTCAACTATTGTTAAAAAATCTACACACACAGACATGTAATTGCAGAATGGAAGGACAAAAAGAGGTGAGAAATTTTGGAGAATAATAATAAATGGCTATTAATAGCTCAAACCCATTTCTTGCATTAATGCTACGAATGTGATAGAATTTTCTACTTCTTGAATTAAACAGTCAGCAAATAACACTGATAATACTTTGGCTCATTATGCCTTATAATGTGATATGCTTGTTTCATGATTCAATAAAAGAATTGTTATCGTTTCCTATCAAAAAAAAAAGTTTCAATTTTACTGAAAAAGCATTTGACCAATTTGAGCTTTTTATTTTTGGAATTGCTAAAGGTTTTTCGAATGTTGTTTAAGTACATAGCCACATCGGTTGCTTGTCACAAGTTGTTTTAGGAGGATTATTTTTTCCATTCTTCCATTGTGGTTGAATGTGTGAAAACTAAAGTTGTTGGGCTTCTCTCTAATTTCCAAATAATGAAATATTGGAATCTATCCACATCAAATTTTATTTTATTCAAAATGCACCTTGCAATCTCCAATCCCTTTCTAATTGGAGAGAAGTCAAATTCACCATTTTCCTCTCTTTTGGAGACAAAAATTGAGGTACAAGGAAGGAGATAGAAACTGCCAATTGGTATGTTATAATAAAATGGGAAAATTTCATCACCATGTGGTTTGTTTTATCTTTAAGAACACTCTTTCTATTATTTGAAATTTCAATAAACTCCTTTCTAGTTTATATGTCCACTTCACTTTGACTCTTGTCATTAATGACTATTTCTGATAGTACAAAAAGTGGATGATCTCACAAAGATTATTTTATAGAATTCTAAGATTACACTATAACTTGATAAATAAAAAAGGTAAATTTCATGTTAATTGTCATAACTTTAAGAACACCACTTCTATGTTAATTCCGTTAACAATAATTTATGTATATACAGATAAATCGTAGTTATACGTGTGTAACAGTAATTAACGTACATACACATTAATCATAGTTATGTGTGTGTGTCAACCAAAAAAGATCAATTTTTCAAATTTTTACCTCTTCCTAAGATTATGAATAAGTGTTTTTCAAATTGTCGGATTGCATCTTAACTTTGATCTCTTTCGCACCCCTATCTTTTTGTCTCTCTATAATCAATTTGAGTGTGATAATAGTTGATTATTGGAATGTAAGAATAGTTGAGTGTTGGTAGTAATGCAATTATGACATGTTATATTAACCATGTTAATATGGAAACTAAGTTGATTAGATATGTAGTTAAGGTATTGTTAGGACAAACTTATGGTACTGTGCAAAAGTGTGATGAACTAACTGTAATTATGTCATGTGATGAACTAACTGTAATTATGTCATGTTATATTAACTAACTGCAATATACTTCTTATACCTTCTAAGGGTCAATCACCATTGTCAGTGGCCAATATTCGAGTTTGAGGAAGTAGTTTGTACAAGTCTAAACATTATAGTAAAAAAAAGCGAAGTTAATTTGAGTGTGATGAACTAATTGAGCTGAGGGCAGATTCACTGAGAATGCACCATTTGGAGAAGACAGCCATTTAATAGTATCCTTTCTCATGTGCTGGGGTTTATACAAGGGCATATAATCTCTAATCTTTTGCAATTCTTCAGAATTTGCTAGAGGCCAACACCATCCATATCCTCTCACAACGGAGCTCACCCTATCATTAAGCTGGAGCCCTGAATCATACACAACTATATCAGACCAATGAAAAAGTTGGACTCCTCAGTATGCCAATTGTCAAAACACAAACTAGTTTTAGCTCCATTACAAATAATATGCTTCATTAAAGGTCTGGCAAACAATTCCATGAACAACATTGAGGAGTCTTTACCTTCCCAATCCACTAAGACCATATACACTGCTCATTAGTTAACAAATTTTAGACATGTCTCAGCATCAATGCCTTATTCACATCAGTCAATTTTCTAAAACCAAGACATCCCTGTTTTTTTGGTTTAGTAATATCTTCCCATGCAACTTATGCTCCAGAAGTTGAGCTGAGTACCTGACCAGAGAAATGCTCTCATTAACAGCTTAATTTTGTTTAGAACAAACTTAGGCAACATGAGATGACTCCACCAAAATATTTGCATGCTGCACAATAATATTGACTTAATTAGCTGAATTCTTCCAGCATAAAAAGATTTATCAACCCAAGACTAAATCCTAGCTTCTTTATTCTTTATCAGTACTTCACAATCTTTAACATTCAATCTTGTGGAAATAAGAGGGACTCCCAAGTATCCGACAGGTTTATGGGGGTAGCCACTTGAGGACCACAGGGGGCAACAGGCCCACCCTGATTTTTTTTTTTTTAAAAAAAAAAAATATTATTTATGTCTATTTCAAATAATTGTAAGTATATTTAAGTGTACTCACTTTATCATTTTTTATTCTAAAAAATAGTATAGTCTCGTACCTAAAAAAACTATGAACTTTTGGACGCACTTTAGACACTTTATGAATACATCTATATAAATTTTTAACATGTCAGTTTCATTTTTTAAGCTATAGAGATTATAAAATTCCGAATTGCTTTATTCTTAATCTCTTCACAATCATCAGTAGATGAACCATCAGATCTCTGAATGGGAATAATTTATTGTGATTCCTCCAATTGACTAAGTTCTTAAAAAAGAAAGAAGTATTTTGGTGTCCAAGATGCAACCAATTAATCCTGGATTTTTGTTTGAGAAATTCTTCTTCAGCCTTTGAAGCTTCAAGATATTTCTATAATAGAACTTTTTCCTCATTCTCAAGTCTTCCACATGAAAGGACCCTTTGATATCTATCTAAGGCAAACTTTGCTTCTTGAGCAACAATATTCAAATCACCTACTTTCAGATTCAAGCTCTTAAACTAAACTCTCTTTTAAGCAACCTCAGCTTTTGGCAACTTGGAACAGTTTAGAGCCATGAATATCAAACTTCCAAATTCTAGCAACTATAAGTAAGAAATCATCTTTATTTGCAAGAAAATTAAAGAATTTGAAAGGATTTTTCCTCTCAGTTGTCGCACCAAATCTCACAACTCCAGGACTATGATCAGAAACCCCCAGCAGGAATAAATTCTGGAGAAGCTTCAGGGAAGTCCATAACCCATTTTTATTTTCTTATACCTTGTCCAACTTTCTAAATACACAACCACCATCTTCCCTCTTATTCCACCAAGTATATAGAATTCCAGTAAATCTTAGATCAACAAGTTCAGTAGCTTGAATACTATCTTCAAACTCCTCCCATAGCTTGATTCTATCTAGCTATACCTCCTATGTTTTCCTTCAGTGTTCTGATAATGTTAAAATCCCCCATTAATGCCCAAGGCTTATTTGAACAAATACTGGCATAACTAGATATACTGTGTCAAAGTTGTCTTCTAATCATGTCATCATTAGAAGCATAGATGAAGGTTGTGTCTTGTTTTCCAAATGATACACAGAAACATGACTATCATAAAAAATAGTTTGTATTCAAATATTGAGTATTTTTCTTGGTTCAAAATCAATAAAAGTGATGTATTTTTCATTGATTTTCAAATTTGGAATCTCAATTTATGATTTTCAGATTATTTAAACGGCAATATTTAATTTAAATAATATGATCTGATCAAATTTAATTCCTTTTACCTTTTCTGTAAAAAATAATTTTTTTTTGAGAAAATTTCAATCACACTCTTTCTAGTTTACTATATTTTAAAGGACATCCACTCTATTATCAAAATATCATTGACACCCCCTCTAGTTTATATTTAAACATCACTAACACCCCTGTCATTAAACCACCATTTCTAACAAAAAAAATTAATCTAAAAGACCAAAAATACTNCTCTCTAGTTTATATTTAAACATTACTAACACCCTTGTCATTAAACCACCATTTCTAACAAAAAAAATTAATCTAAAAGACCAAAAATACTCTTACATAAAACCCAAATAATCTTTCTACATAAAAATTAAAATTCAATTAAAATTATGGCCGATTAAAATTTATTTTTCTACATATTAAAATTTGAGCCGATTAAAATTCAATTCGAGTTAATTAAAATTTTANACATAAAAATTAAAATTCAATTAAAATTATGGCTGATTAAAATTTATTTCTCTACATATTAAAATTTGAGCCGATTAAAATTCAATTCGAGTTAATTAAAATTTTATTTTTTAAGTATTCAAATTCGAGCCTATTAAAATTCCTTTTTAACATATTAAAATTCAAGCCGATTTGAGTTCTACCTAAACTGTTAATGCCGATTAAAATTCGCTTTGAGTCGCTTAAAATTTCATATTTTTTTATTTATTAAAATTCGTGTTAATTAAAATTCAATTAAAATTAATTAAAATTTATTTTTTACATNCCTTTTTAACATATTAAAATTCAAGCCGATTTGAGTTCTACCTAAACCGTTAGTGCCAATTAAAATTCGCTTTGAGTAGCTTAAAATTTCATATTTTTTTATTTATTAAAATTCGTGTTAATTAAAATTCAATTAAAATTAATTAAAATTTATTTTTTACATACTAATAATTGAGTAGATTAAAATTTATATTTTTTTATACATCAAAATTCGGGTCGATTAAAATTCAATGTAAGTTGATTAAAATTTGATTCGAGCAGGTTTTTAATCGGCTTCAATAGAATTTTTTTGGCTCAAATTTTAATACATAAAAAATATTATTTTTAATCAATTCAAATTTTAATACGTAAAAAATAAATTATAATTAGTTCGAATCGAATTTTAATCGATCAAAATTTTAATAGTAAAAAATTTTAGAAAACAAAAAGGCCTTATTGAAAATATGTCTTTTTAGAAAGAATGTATATGNTCAAAATTCGGGTCGATTAAAATTCAATGTAAGTTGATTAAAATTTGATTCAAGCAGATTTTAATCGGCTTCAATAGAATTTTTTTGGCTCAAATTTTAATACATAAAAAAATATTATTTTTAATCGATTCAAATTTTAATACGTAAAAAATAAATTATAATTAATTCGAATCGAATTTTAATCGATCAGAATTTTAATAGTAAAAAAATTTAGAAAACAAAAAGGCCTTATTGAAAATATGTCTTTTTAGAAAGAATGTATATGACGTTTTTTCTAATTAGTACCTCAATCTGACAAGGTGTCAATGATTTATAAAATAAAAAAAGTGTATTTGAAGATATGATAAATTAAAAGGGATGTGGATGAAATTTTTTCCCAATTTACACAGTATTCTAGAAAGACCCAAAGAATTTAGCAAATTCCAGGATTCACACTGCACAGATGTAAGGTCCTCAATTGTCCACGATTAATCATCCCACAGATCCGTTGCACCGCACACAGCTTCGTTACTCTTTNAAAAAAAGTGTATTTGAAGATATGATAAATTAAAAGGGATGTGGTTGAAATTTTTTCCCAATTTACACAGTATTCTAGAAAGACCCAAAGAATTTAGCAAATTCTAGGATTCACCTGCACAGATGTAAGGTCCTCAATTCTCCACGATTAATCATCCCACAGATCCGTTGCACCGCACACAGCTTCGTTACTCTTTCTTTAAAACCCCCTCTCCCACAGCACACCTTTTCAACAATAACCAACCTCGGAGAGAAAACAACACAAAATCACCCCGTAACCTCTCTCTCTCTCTCTCTCTCTCTCTTCTACAGTCATTCAACAATGGCCACGAAAGAGATGGAAACAGTAAAGGGTCTAGACTTGCAAAAGTACATGGGAAGGTGGTATGAGATAGCTTCATTCCCATCAAGGTTTCAACCTAAGAGTGGAATAAACACAAGGGCTACATACACTTTGAAACCTGATGGTACTGTTCATGTTCTTAATGAGACTTGGACTGATGGCAAGAGAGGCTCTATAGAAGGTACTGCGTATAAGGCGGACCCTTCTAGTGATGAGGCCAAACTCAAAGTCAAGTTCTATATTCCTCCTTTCTTGCCTATCTTTCCTGTTACTGGGGATTACTGGGTTTTGTCTATTGATGACGATTATCAGTATGCTTTGATTGGCCAACCTGCCAGGAAATATCTTTGGGTATGTCTCTGATTCCATATTCTTGTGTGTGTGTGGCTGCATAGATAGATTCACACACAAGAAGACAGAATTTATTTATATAACACTTTTGGGGATTTTGTGGTGGGTTTAGCTTAGTGAGTAACTTCTAATTTTGATACTTGATATGGATCCTTGTTCTTGGATTGTGATTTGATCAATTTCTTGTTCTTGGATATGATTTGATCAAGTTTTAAGATTTACATTTGTTGGTTTGTGGTTCAACAAGTAATGGAAAATAAAAGGAAATAAAATTAGGGGAATTAGGGGAGATTTTGAACACAAATGGAGGATAGGGAGGGAGGGATATATAAGTTTCATATGTCATTGTTTATTACTTTGTTTCTGGTTTTTGTTGGTTTTTTGTGTGTTTCTTGTGTTTATATGTTAGGAATATATCTTCTTAATATGTTATTCTTGTGCTCTATGTATTCAGATATTGTGTAGAAAGAACCATCTTGATGAGGAGATCTACAATCAGCTAGTTCAGAAAGCCAAAGAACAGGGCTATGATGTGAGCATACTTCAAAAAACACAGCAGACAGATCCTATACCAGAGAGTGATGATGCCCCCAAGGACACCAAAGGCATTTGGTGGATTAAGTCCATTCTGGGAAAATAGTAATTGCCAAATATATATTTCTAGACTTTTATCATATATAGAAATAAACCCTACAAAATCTGAATGTTTGATGCTGTATTCAGATTTTTCTTTTTACTATTATGCCTTGTAAAGTTTGAATGTAGTCTGTGGTTGAATTTTGTTATGAGAATTGTGGAATGTGAATTATTAGTGTTTCTTTGGTGTGAAATCTTTCTGATTTTTCAGTTGTGGTTTGAAATTAATGTTATAAACTTGGCTTTTAAGGATGAGCATTAAGGGGCTGTTTGTTTGTAAGGGGATACGGGCTTGGCAACATGAAGAAAAATAATCTATAGGACTCCTCAATCTTGGATTGAAAATTTAATCTCGGATTTTCAAACTCGACTTATAGTTGGTCCGAGAATTAAATCATAATTATGAGTTTTGTCAAATTTAGGGAGGGGTGGATTTTCAAACTCGATTCATAGTTGGTTCGAAGATTAAATCATCATCCTTAGTTTCGTCAAATTTAGGGAGAAGTGGGTCTGGAAAGATAGATTAATGAGTTAAAGATGTAAACAATTATATCNACTTAATCTCGGATTTTCAAACTCGACTTATAGTTGGTCCGAGAATTAAATCATAATTATGAGTTTCGTCAAATTTAGGGAGGGGTGGGTTTTCAAACTCGACTCATAGTTGGTTCGAAGATTAAATCATCATCCTAAGTTTCGTCAAATTTAAGGAGAAGTGGGTCTGGAAAGATAGATTAATGAGTTAAAGATGTAAACAATTATATCTTTGAACATGAGTATAAATTGAATTGATTAAGAGTAAAATAGTAATTTAGAGTACAAATAGTTGTTAATAATAATAATTATGATATATTTGTAAATCTTATATATGTATGCGTTTTATATCAATTATGAGTATAAATTAGATTGGATGTTAAATTTTATCTTCGTATAGACGAATTTGAATTTAAAAAAGTGTGAAGATATCAATTCAAAGCCTTTCTCNAAATCTTATATATGTATGCGTTTTATATCAATTATGAGTATAAATTAGATTGGATGTTAAATTTTATCTTGGTATAGACGAATTTGAATTTAAAAAAGTGTGAAGATATCAATTCAAAGCCTTTCTCAAAATTCACGTAACTAAGCCCGGAATGACCACTTGGGTCCATCTTGGTCTTATCCATCTTTAGCTTTGTTTGGATGGACTCAACACTGTTCCCTCGGAGCCCAAGTGATAGAGATGTATCTTCCCACCTCTAGTACGTGATTTGACAGGGAGGTTTGTACCCATATTACCCACTTCAGGAGCCTTGCAGAAGCAGCTTCCTCCTAAGAGCATCTATAACAGATGCTATGATCAAAATATCTAAAATTTAGCTAACAAAAATCAAAAGTCATATTCTAAGGGATGTTGTTTGTGTACTTTAAAATAAATTTTTATTATAGTGATATTCTATATGATACACTAAATGTAGAGTATCAGTAACAAGTAAATATATTTTATATTATTTTATCTCTCTTCCTCTCTTTTCTTTTATTCTCCTTCTTTCACCCTTTTGTTATTTTCAAAAAAAATAATATAAAAAGAATGAGAAATAATATTTAAAAAAAGTAGTTAAAAATATAAAAAATTTGTTGGAGTGTGTATTAAAAAAGTGAGTACTTAAAATAGATAAAGTTGTTTTTTGCATAACTAAAATACAATTTGTTGTTGGAGATGCTCTAACAACAGAATTATTGAAATGGTGATTTTAAAATACAATTATTAAATTACGATATTTTTAAATTTATTTATTAAGTTATAACATTTTTTTATAAAAAAAGGTTTAAATTATATCACCTGCCCACCAACCCAAAAAGATTATTTGGCAATTTTGTATTGGCAGAAATACTAAAAACTCTGGTCTTTTGGATTTTTTTTTTCTTCTTTTTAGGTCTTGCTAATTAGTATTCTTAGTGGAGGCAGGTTTGAGATCTATGAAAATTATTGTGAAGGAATACTGTGACGCTTATAGAGGAATTTCTTGAGGGTCTATTTGAAATAGATCAATTTTATTTGAATATAATTTGTTTGATCTAATGCATCAATTCAATAATTATAATATATTAAGTTAATAAATTAAATTTAATTATTATTTTTTTGTGGAATCTACAATATTATATTTACCACTTTTCTACGCTAGCTCAATATGGACCAAGAATAAGAACTATGACCCAAAACTTAAGAGTTAAGAATAAGAACCGAAGTTGGTGGGTCCCCTTTTGGACAATACGTCGGTCTGGCTTGTTTTTGTTTGTTTGTTGCTTGCCTCTTTTATGCACATTGTTTAGAGTGTTAATTACAAAAAATTCCCTTTAATTTTAGATAGTTTGTAATTCACTCCTTTAAGTATTAATTTTAACAAATATAATCTCTTTTTAAGTTTGAATATTTTAAAATTAATCCTAATAGTTATTTTTAGACAATAAAAATTGTTAAAAGTTAGACATGTCAAATTCACGTGATTTCTACTTTATTAAAAAAATAATAATTACCCTTACACCTATTTTTCCCATATACAAAATATTCATACTTACCCATTACCCTTACACCGTTCTATCTTTTCCTACATCGGATGGTTAACTCTTATTCCATTTTCCTTTGGGTAGACACCCTCCATTCACTATGATGATGTGGGGGCGAATGTTTTTCTTATTTTTTAATCTTGACTTTTTTGTTTTCTTATTTTTTAAGGATAAAATTGATTTCTCAAGAAAAAAATGTGAAAAATAATGTGTAAAATGGAAGGTGTAATGGTTCTTTCAAGTATTCAGTCACTGTTATTAGTCAATTTAATCCAGTTAAAACTTAGAAGAAGTAAATTGTTGATTGCAACAAAGTTATAATTGGAGGGGACACATTATAATTAACCCTCGCTAATATTGTAGGCAGCTGATTGAGATGTGTTTGATATGATACTCCTGCAAGATTTTCCCATTTGAGATGATGGTTTTCTCTTGTCTATGCACTTTCCAATTTTATTTATCAGAAATAAAATTCTATTTCTATGCACTAATGAGTAAGGCATTTTCGGTAGTGATGTGGTGATAGGCTACTCCAAAGGGTCTGTTGTTATGGCTAACCGAACATTTCACATTGGGGGAGACCCTGAAGGTCACGCCTAGGGAGGGTCACTACCTGCCGTCGCCCCTCTCCCCTATTTTTTTTGATCAAAAAAAAAAAGAAATTATTTATCAGAAAAGCTTGCAACCAAATGTACTCTACTTTGTTCATGGGCAATAGGTATTGGGCAAAACGTAGGCTCGGGAAAAGGCCCGCACTTCATGGACTGGTCCAAAAGCTCGGTGGTTCAACCCACGATGACTTCATTTTGGGCGCGTCTTCACCCGATGGATTGGCTCACAATAATAAGAAGGCCCATCGAATAGGCTCAGGACTCAGTCCAATGGNCAAAAGCTCGGTGGTTCAACCCAGGATGACTTCATTTTGGGCGCGTCTTCACCCGATGGATTGGCTCACAATAATAAGAAGGCCCATCGAATAGGCTCAGGACTCAGTCCAATGGAGTCATGGACCATTAAAATTCAAAAATATTTTAATAAAAAACTTTACAGTTAATAATATAATAAAAAATAGTGATAATTTGGGCCCAATATCTTTCAGGACTTATAATGACTTAAGTTTATGCTTTAAATATATTTGATGTTAAGTTCTATTATTATATTTTTAGCAAGCAGTTAACTCAAAACTTTTTTTATACAAAAAATGCTCTTATTTTTAGCTTGATTAATTTGTATCTATTGATTATAACAATAAAAAAAAGTATTAAACAATAAAATAAAATTATTTTGTAGGTGTTAAAATTATATTGAATGAAAAAAAAAATTACGAAACCGAAAAATTATTTTTTACGATAACAAATGAAAGCCAACATCTCAAATTTGAGAATAAGGCTTCGGTATTAACTTTGGTATAGTACGACCATCAAATAAAAAGTGATAAATTACTTTGAATTTGATGATATGTAATCATTGATTAAAAAGTAATATAATAATATAAAAAAATTTTAAAAAGTTACATGTAATATAATTTTATTAGATACAAATTGAAAATTCTACACCCAAAGTGTTATTTTTAAGAGTGTCAATTGTGTAATGTTTGTGTCATTTTCATATCGTTTCACTTTTTATCATGTTATTTTCGGTATGAGTCGTGTTCTTACGAATAAAAAATTTAGTCAATTTTAAAATAACTCATATGATATAAAAAAAATAAAAAAATTTATAAAATACTTATTTTCTATATACAATACTCATTTAATGCGTTATTTACTTTTTAGTTTTATTTAATTTATTTATTATTCGTGTTAATTAATCTTATTATTTTTCAATTTTATATCAAGATGATGTCGTGTTGGTATAAATGGGTGAAATTGACACACCAAGATATTTTAACTTAAAATTATAAAATCATTTGGATTTAAAAAAATCAAATATAATCATATTTAGCCATAGTAGAGATTGTTAATATAACATGTAGTTAATTGCACCACATAAATTACATGAGCTTTGAGCATCTTCAACCACATTATCTAAAATAGTTACTCAAAATAAATTTAAATATTATATTATCTACTTTAACTAATTATTTTTTCAAATTCACTCCAACCACGTTATCTATTTTAATTAACAATTTTAACTAACTTTCAATAATAAAATTTAAAAAATAGTAATTCAACTATACATCGTATAAATTTAATCAATTATGGACTACAAGAGTAAATATCATTAAAAGAAGGATTACAAGAGTAAATATCATAACAGAATATTAGCCACCATCACCACTGAAGAGGAGGAAGAACAGTCGAACGATTAGACGGTGCTTAGGGCAGATTGGAGCGATTCGAATGCCATGGAAGGAAGAATTGAAGGTCGATGAGAAGGTTGATTTGGGAGAGAAGGTAACAGTCGAAGGGTGGGATTGAGATGGGTGGGGTTGCATCTGCTTCTAATTTCACAAATTCAGTCGGTGGGGGGTTTTGGTGGATTTTTTGGTGGGATTTTTGGATTTGTTGGTGGGTTTTTCAGTGGGAGTTGAGACAGAGAAAGCCAGAGAGAGATGGGTTTCAGTAGGATTTTTGTGACCCCATATATACACCCACACACATAGATAGAGACAGAAAGAACCCCATACCTGGACCGGACGAAAACCCTCTGTCTCGCCAGTTTCTTGGCCCGAAAACATAATAGCGAACTCCTTCGCCTCTCCGGAAATAGCTAGCC